TAATCTTAAATGTCAAAGTAGAGAGGAGCCTAGTAGGCCTATTTATTTTCATTCATTACACAATATGAATAAGCTATGCAGACAGTTGTAAAGAAAGAACATCTTTTTCTTCTGTTCTCTACTTGTTATAGTTACACAGTATTAGGGGTGTGGGCTGTATTAAAAGTATCCACTGTTCTCCCATGCTCTAACACACAGTAACGATGAAATGTGTGCTGTTCTCACATTCTTCCTCTGTATGTACACATAAACAACAAGGCAGGGAAATATAAAAGGAATTTATTTTATTGTTTGGGTACATTATTGTTCAGTGTACATGTCACATCTGAAACAAACTTTACGTGCTTGATAACTCTCCCACCCCGCAGACATCTACACGTCAATACCGATTTATATTCATAGCGGCAAGTGCTATGTAGCTCCACATAGGGGACACAGGAAGTGACATATAGCACATTCATGCGGCGTCGGAACCGCGTAGGAAATTCACAGCCGCACCGGCAGAGCTCCAGAATGTGCAACTCGGCCGGCTCACGCACGGACGCGCTTACAAGTGCGAGGGCCCGCCCAACGCTGCTTGCAGCTTTAATTTTATTTTTTTTTTTTTTTTCTGCAAAGTAGGCTCAAATGACATGGCCTAAACATTCTCGAAAACTCACCAAAATTTGCAAACATGTCAGAACCGGTGAAAAATTTCGTATTCTACAAGTTTCGCACATGGGCGTTGCAAAATGACTCGCTAGCGCCACCTAGAAAATTGGAAAAATTAGCCCCTCGTTCACGTTCAACCTACATGTACGAAATTTTCTGGGGACATGTATCATATCAAGACGCACAAAAAAGCCTCAAGAACCCATAGCCTAAAGTCAACAGGAAGTCGGCCATTTTGAATTTTACGGCCATTTTTGGATGATTTACACACTTCGTACTTTAACGAACTCCTCCTAGGGATTTAGTCGGATCGACGTCAAATTTCTGCTGTGCCTTCTAAAGGCATTGACGATGAAAAGTTGTGCTATTTGCGCGTTTTCGTCAATGGGCGTGTCCGTGGCGTCGATGATTCGCAATGAAACAGGAAGTTGTTGTAACTTCAGTGTACATGCTCACATCTGGACCAAACTGTACATGTAGGATGAGAGTCCCGCCCTGAACACATGTACATGCCGACATTCACCCACAGTCATAGCGCCACCTGCTGGCAATAGAAAGTGACCTTTAACGAAGCAGCCCCCGCCGCACGTTTCACCTACGTGCACGAATTTTCTGTGGTACGTGTATCTTGTCCAGACGCACAAAAAAGTCTCTTGGAGCCATAGCCTAAACCCAACAGGAAGTCGGCCATTTTGAATTTTACGTCAAATTTTGGATGATTTACACACTTCGTACTTTAACGAACTCCTCCTAGGGATTTAGTCCGACCGACCTCAAATTTCTGCTGTGCCTTCTAAAGGCATTGAAGATGAAAAGTTGTGCTATTTGCAAGTTTTCGTCAATGGGCGTGTCCGTGGCGTGGCGTCAAAGATCAGCTCTTCGCCATGACACGGAAGTTGTCGTAACTTCAGTGTACATGCTCACATCTGGACCAAACTGTACATGTAGGATGAGAGTCCCGCCCTGAACACATGTACATGCTGACATTCACAGACAGTCATAGCGCCACCTGCTGGCAACAGGAAGTGACTTTTAACGAAGCAGCCCCCGCCGCACGTTTCACCTACGTGCACGAATTTTCTGTGGTACGTGTATCTTGTCCAGACGCACAAAAAAGCCTCTTGGAGCGATGCCTAAAATCAACAGGAAGTCGGCCATTTTGAATTTTACGTCAAATTTTGGATGATTTACACACTTCGTACTTTAACGAACTCCTCCTAGGGATTTAGTCCGACCGACCTCAAATTTTGCTGTGCCTTCTAAAGGCATTGAAGATGAAAAATTGTGCTATTTGCAAGTTTTCGTCAATGGGCGTGTCCGTGGCGTGGCGTCAAAGATCAGCTCTTCGCCATGACACGGAAGTTGTCGTAACTTCAGTGTACATGCTCACATCTGGACCAAACTGTACATGTAGGATGAGAGTCCCGCCCTGAACACATGTACATGCTGACATTCACAGACAGTCATAGCGCCACCTGCTGGCAACAGGAAGTGACTTTTAACGAAGCAGCCCCCGCCGCACGTTTCACCTACGTGCACGAATTTTCTGTGGTACGTGTATCTTGTCCAGACGCACAAAAAAGTCTCTTGGAGCGATGCCCTAAAACCAACAGGAAGTCGGCCATTTTGAATTTTACGTCACATTTTGGATGATTTACACACTTCGTACTTTAACGAACTCCTCCTAGGGATTTAGTCCGACCGACTTCAAATTTGTGCTGTGCCTTCTAAAGGCATTGAAGATGAAAAGTTGTGCTATTTGCGAGTTTTCGTCAATGGGTGTGTCCGTGGCGTGGCGTCAGAGATCAAGTCTTCGCCATGACACAGGAAGTTGTTGTAACTTACGTGTACATGCTCACATCTGAACCAAACTTTACGTGCTTGATAACTCTCCCACCCCGCTATGGAGGACCGATCCTGACACAGTCAGAAATAAATACAGAAATAAATAAATGCTCAATAAATAAATAAGCTTCCAATTAAATACACAAAAAAATAAAGTAAATAAATAAATGTTGGTATTAATTAAATTATACAAGGAGACATAAATGTATATATTTTAATTAGTGCCTTTACTTATTCACCTTTGTTATAATTACCTTATTTATTTATTCCTTATAATCTTCAACTTTATTTATTACTAATTTTTTTAATATATTTATTTATGTGTGTGTTTTAATATTTTGTCTGTTTTATTCTTCCTTTGTATTTTTCTACCTTATTTATTTTCACCCATGGTATTTATTTCTGCCTGTCCTTTTTAAATTTCTGTATGCATTTCTGACTCATTATGCAAATGAGGAGGGGCTGTGTCTCAAGGGGTCATCTTCTCTTCTATTGGTGGACCAGTCAGACAGGAGAGCTCTAGGCCTACTCTGCCTGCAGACATCAACGATCTTGCCCCTCACACAGTCAGATGGCTTCCTTCAGTGCGCTGAGGTGTTTAACAACTCTGAAGACACTACCAGCCATGTCTTCCTTCTCTTTTCACGTAGACGCTCCGACAGACAGTGCTTTCAGTTTGCTGCATGCATGGACACAGAACTGCGGTACAGCACACAATAACGATGAAATGTGTGCTGTTATCACATTCTTCCTCTGTATGTACACATAAACAACAAGGCAGGGAAATATAAAAGGAATTTATTTTATTGTTTGGGTACATTATTGTTCAGTGTACATGCTCACATCTGAACCAAACTTGGCGTGCTTGATAACTCTCTGACCCCCAGACATCTACACGTCAATACCGATTTATATTCATAGCGGCAAGTGCTATGTAGCTCCACATAGGGGACACAGGAAGTGACATATAGCACCTTCATGCGGCGACATAACCGCGTAGGAAATTCACAGCCGCACCGGCAGAGCTCCAGAATGTGCAACTCGGCCGGCTCACACGCGGACGCGCTTACAAGTGCGAGGGCCCGCCCAACGCTGCTTGCAGCTTTAATTTATAAATGAATTCATAAAACAACATAAAAAAACAGCAAAGGCTTACATGTGGCTAACCAAAATAATCAAAATATACACCGTTATGAAAATGTGTATATTATAATTAATAATAGTTACTATGCTATTTGAAGAAAAAATATATATAATATATATATGTAATTTATTTGTAGCTTTGTCAATATTGTTGTCATACATTCTACAAATAAAGCTGATTTGAATTGAATTGAATTGAGTGAGTGGGGGGGAGAGAGACGTTAACGTTAAGGAGCTGATTTAAAAAAGGCAGAGAGAGAGAGAGAGAGAGAGAGAAGAAGAGAGGGGGGGGGACGTTAGCAGTTAGCGCCATGTCTACGCATCCAGCATTCATTGCCCTTGTGGGATTAACGTTACTTTTTGAATGAATAACGTCTGACTGTGGATCCTGAAGAGGAAGAATTCCGTCGTGAGGTGAGCACCTTTTTAAAGTTTAAAAGCTTTCTTGGAAGTTCGTTTGGGTTTGTATTTATGTGATAATGTTACCTTACGTTAATGTTGGCTAACTTTAGGTCAGGTTAGAGTAAACCTTACCGTGGGCTGTTTCTACAACAGTTTAATTCAAGGTGTCCATTCGGCAGTTTTGTGTTGCACTTGCAGAAACGATGTTTACTCATTTGTAAAGTTAAGTTAACGTTAAGTTAGCTAACGTTAGTTATTTAATGGTAAAAACCCGAGGAAATATCCAGTTGTAACATAATTTTTGTGGCAAGTCAATTAAAAGCGGTTATGTGCTTTTCTGTAAACTTAACCGTTAACCGAAATTTACCACGGTGTTCATACAAGCGCTCTGGAGGAGCCAGTTACAAGGGGACTTTATGTAACATTAGATATGGAAGGTTTAAGGCTAACGTAAGTTAACGTTAGTTTTTACTGGAGGCACAATGTGTCTGCTCCTGTGAACGTTACGTTACCGATTTTAAATGTATAATAACGTTATGTGAACGGCAGTGTCAATATAACGATATAAAGATAACGTTAACTTGGGGAGCATATTAAGTTAACGCCCACATGTCACGGACACAGATTTTGCAGACAACGGTATAAGTGACTGAATTTATAATCTGCTTCTCAGTCATTATCTGTTCCAACTGAATCAGATGATTTTGGCCCTCAAGTTTATGAAGCAGGTAAGTTAGAGACAGGCGTAAGTATAGCAATATGATGTGGATATGTTTGATAATTTCAGTGAGCTTGTTCTTAGAAACAACATTGTTAAAGAGATGCAAAATATGAGTTGGGTCAGAAATATACTTTCAGTAAAATTTCTTAACTGCTTAAAAATTACCTTATCAGATGAGGACATCGCCAAAGTTTGGGAGTCTGTCAGGGGATTTTATCTGTTTTCTGCATGTCTGCAGGCACAATGAGGACAGCATTCTCAAGAAACAGTGGGAAGAGTGTAGAATGTGGAGCAAAGGGCCCATACTGGAATCTAACCTTGGCTGCTGCAGTAAATATTCTACCAGGTGAGCCACACCGGTAGCCCAGCTCCTGTCTTCTTTCCATACTCTATCAGGTCAGAAAGTCACATAAACAAAAACAGAAAGATAAACTAACTAAAAACAAAATATTAGCCTTTCGTTGTTTTTGGTCTTTTCAATATAAGATCACTACATAATAAATATTTTATTCTCAGTGATTTTTATTATCTAACAGAATATACAGTAGATGTTTTTTTCCTTTTGGAGACTTGCCACAAACCAACACATTACTGCCTCCTGATGTTGCTTTCTTCACCTACTTTCCTGAGTGTCCTGAGGTCCACAGGCTGTGATGGGGCATTGCAGCTATTTATAAAAACCACTGGTGTTCTGTATTTTTGACTGCTAGTTTTTTTTAGTAGATTTCAACAGTTTGTTGGTGATTCCTCTAACTAAATAGCCAAACACTAAAATAATTTAATCTTCTCCTCAGCATGATGCAGCTGGAGAATGCAACTTTGCACAAATGTGGGATGGCCAGCACTGAGATTTGTTGTAAGCTTTATCAGAACGCAGCTTTAGTGTGTAAATATAGTTTGTATGCTTCTGAACTGGTACTGCCCTTAAATGTTAATTTGTTAAATACTTAAATGTTTGCATCAATAATTGTGTCCTTTATTTATCTTCTACCCTGTCATTGTGATTTGGATGTGTCAAATTTCCATCTTATCTCAGACAAAACATAGACCCCTATGCCTGACAATGACTGAATGTGTTCTTTCTGATCAACATCTGAGCTCGGAACATCACATTACTAACATTTTCTTATGTCTTATTTTTAGCAGTTGTACTGAATATGGGTTTGAAAATGAATATTACCACACACTTTCACCGCATTCTGTTTCTAGGAGGCCTTTGATGATCTTTGTATTTACACTTTTTCTCAGTTGCTTTGGTTCATTTCTCAGATCAGAATTGAAATTCTCAAAACTAATTGTCAATCTCCACATCATCTTGTCACTTGTGCACATCATAAAAGCACTTTCTCATTGTTTTAAACAAATTGCAAATGACTTGACACACTGATGCAAATGATTATGTACAATTGTCTGCTGTTTCCTACATTATCAATTGCTTATGTCCTGCAGATCACAATGAATTATACCAGTCTCTGTTGAATAATCTTACCCCCCAAAACATCTAGGCATAAGTTCATTGCATTAGTCACTACATGATAAATGGTTGAACACGTTATCAAAAATCAAAGTTAAAATATTTTATTCATATCCTTTGCCTACAAGTATATAGCTAAACAAAATGTTGTTTCTTAAGGACCATAAACAAAGTAAGAATAGACCACAACAACATCACAATAGCAACACTCATACCAATACTCAATACCAGTAAACAGTAACAATACACAGTGAGCAGTAATATATATAGATAGACATTCTATACATGTCTATTAGAATCTTTTTGTAAATGTGTAAACCTGAATTGATGAAGATATCTGTTGTGATGTGGAAGAGAATCTGGGATACAAAAGACCGGAACGTCAGCCAAAGGGGTGTATTCCATGCAGCAGTCCTGTCTCTTTCTTTTCTGTATTACAATGACATGCTCTGTTAACAAATTACAGTACGAACAGTAAAAGCATACCTGTGATTCCTGTCCTCTCTCCTGCAATGTATAACTTTGTACTGGTGAAAGTGATATATGCCATACAAAAAAAGTGCAGCCTTGTGCATTTTCAATCATTGTCATCAAAATCTTAGCCAAAATGTACATCAGAAAATACTTCTTCTAGTACATTGTTATATTGACAAGATGGCTAAACATTTTGACTTGCTTATTCATAAACAAGACACAAGGACTTGTTATTCTGATGGCACTGACAAGTTCAATGACATAAAGATTTGCTTTTGAGAGATAGACTAAGGATTTTGAGCAAGTTATGGGCTTTTGCAGGTAAACCACTGTGTTGTACCGTTTGTACTACCTGTTTTGAGAAATGCACTTACTGTTTATTTTAAGGATGATTCGAGAAATGCACCAAAGCGACTGAGAAAAACTGCAAGAAACCTAATACACACAATAGAAAAATTTCTCTTGGGTAAAATGTACTTATATTACATTCAGGGTTACTATGTACATGGTCTCAATAAAATTATTATATCAGAGATGTAATCAGCTGCGTTGGAAATAACACAACCTAATACAACAGTACAATAACAACATCAGCATATTGTCGCGTGATGCCAGTATAGATGGAACAATTATATCTTTGAGAATATTACCTCAGAAATACAGTTGAACTGTAAATTTACAGGCAATACCTATGGTAAACGGCAGTGAATGAAGTCAGCAGACACCCTGGCTGATGGCTGTGCACTCTGTTATGGCAGGCTGAGAGCAAGTCAGGTGGTCTTGGCATTGAGAAACTGACATAGGCAGCTCAGCTTGGTTCTGGATGTTCTGTTAGTCAGGTAATCTGGTTTAGAGGATGTAGAAAGTAGCACAATCCCAAACTGTACAGTATAGAGGAAACTGCTTATTGATGTTTCTTCATTATTCATGATTGCTGAGACATTGAACCCTACCGTTGCATTCAGCCTCCCAGACTGTCTGATCTAGGACTTGCATCTGTCCCTTACTCTCATATATCCAAACGTGATTGTGGGTTTTTGGCTGGAGCCTGCGTAGTTACTCCCATAATATATTAGATCTAAACCTGTTAACTGTTTTGAGTGGCTCTTGACGTCATATTTAAAGGATAGAGTTTGTTCTAAAACTATCCCTACCCCTAACCTACTCTTTGTTCACCATTGCAGGATTTTTCCTGCATAGCGAGATTTTTGGCGCCCCCAAAGATATTTTAGTGAGAGCCAAAGAAAAATCTCCAGAATGCTAAGAATTGAAAAAAAATAGCATTTAAAATCCTCTCAGAATGTGTTTTAATAGCAATTGATCAAACAAATGTTGAGCAAGCAGAACATAAACTTAAATAGTACGTCTTTGCCTTTTAGCAGTCACCTCTCCTCCCGTCTGCAGCCGCTTTATTTTACACATGCAGCTGGTGCTGGATTTATTTTTTGATTTGATTTTCTCATGAATGTGCTGTTTGCTTCTGCATAATTAACAACACAACGACAAGGAGGGACTTGCAGATATTTATGGTGTTTACAGAAGCCAATAGCTAAATGTGCGTTACACCCCCCCCCACCCTGTTATGTAGACTCTAATCGAACTAACTAACTCTAGACCGCTAACTGAACTAACTAGTTACAGATACAGTTAGTAACGTTAGCTGCGCTTTATCAAAAAGTAAATGTATCTGTTCTTGAAGAAACTCTGTAAATCACCTCGGTACTGTATTCCCTGTTGGTGTATCTGTTCAGTCCGGTTCATGCCATGTTCACTGGGAGGCTGCTGAGAGCAGTTTTGCTGACCGGCAGCTGTCAACTGCATGTCACAGAACTAAACTGATAGATTGTGCACTGTAGCACGATACTAACGATATCTCTGAAAGGGCAGATCATACAGACATTTTAATTGTCCACGATCTAATTTCGTAATATCGCCCACCCCTAACTGTGCCTAAACGCTCTGCTATGAAGCCTAATGGAAGACATGACTTTGCACCCCTCGCATTAAATAGAGTATTTTCACAAGGTGAGCAAGCGTCTGACACAACAATCTTTTTATGTGTGCTACATGAAAGGACAACTGGTATCTGTCTGGACATTAGCGGCCAGACATCCAGCGGAGCCTTTAAATTGGATTACCTGTGTAGTGCTTGAAATGGACTGGTACTCATCGGTATCCTTCTACATTTCACTCTTTGGCATACCGGTAATTTTGGTTGCTGACCGGCACTTCTCACAAGCTGCTAGTACCTCTCTCCATTTCAGGTTCTCTGTGATGATCACCTGTTACTGTTCTTGCCTGCCTGCTAACATCTGTTGGTGGAGACAGAGCCGGGAGAAGATCAGTTCCTTTCTTGCAGCCGTGTGCAGAAAGTAGCTCGTCAATAACCGGTCAATCACAGCTGGGATGGGGCGGGACATTTTAAAAAAAAAGGTTTACGCACAACATCAAACCTTTGGAACTTGTTCTTCTGCATGAATAGTTATGATTGACATATTAGTACTTAGTGTTAACAGATGAGAGACTAAACACTATGTGTCTTGCACAATAATTTAGACTGAAAATTACCCACAAAAATGAAACTGCAGTTTTGTCCAACTGGAATTAATACTGTATTATAGTAGTCAGTGTTTCCCCTAGGATGGAGTTAGTAGTTTTAGTAGCAGCGGAGGTAAAGCGATTTTTTTTTTTGTGTGTGTGTGTGTGCGTAGTACGCAGTATGTCTGAATAGAATATCCCAACACAACATGTCTCAGCAGTATTGCTCTTGTGTCCATGAGCATGCGATGCATATTAAAATAGCTTAAAATTTCAGTGTTTTCCCAGTTTTATGTGAGCTTTAGAGGAATGTTTTGGTGGTGGTGGTGGTTGTGTTAGTTTTGGTCAGGGGTTTGGGGATCTTCCCCCAAGAAAATTTTCAGTTTTCCAATGAAAAATATGTAATTTCATATCATATTCGACCATTATTTTCACCATATCTCTGAACAAATAGTTGGAAAAGCTAGAGCAGATAATAAATAAACAACACCCAAAGATCAGTCTACTAGGGAGGAACTACAACCAGCTACCAGTTACTTTCTGTAAATTGAGCAAATGTTAAGTTACATAGCAGCCAAAAGACGCACCCTACTTTAGAAGCTTTCCTTCCCAGCCGCGCAGTCTGAAGGGGAGGGGAGATGTTAGCTAACTTAGCGCAAAGTGGCTTCACTTTTCCAGCGGCTGGAGAAACAACAAACATACTTTTCTTGGTCTTGAGAAGCTGACATGTACGTAGCCGACCATGTAAGTAACCGACACCGTACATTTACTGCAAGAATATTTTCCTCCTTTCGTGTTCACCGTCACTTTCTGCCGCTTGGACTATCAAGCACTCGCTACGCACACTCACCTCCCGATTCGGAGTTACTAATAGTTACTAATAGTTCTAATAGGCTAAAGCACCTGTCTTGTAGATGTCCTTTGAAGAATGAGGAGAGGAAGCAAGCCAAGTGATGAGTGTTACCAGGGTGAAGGAGAAAGAGAGGGATGGAAGGAGAGAGAGGGGAGGGAGGCAGCCTACACAATATACACACAGAGGTACAGACAGTAAAGGTAGCAGGTGACCCGCAGCCATAGATCCAGACTCCACAGCTCCAGAGCCAGAAAACCTGCAGGAAGTGATAGGAGGAGAGAGGAGAGGGACGTGTCAGGGAAAATAATTCCTTCCCAAAGAATACAGAGTCAAATAGATGTGTTGAATCATTTCTTTATGTAACGTGGCCACGGAGAGAACGCACGGTTACTCTCCTGAACTCAGCATTTCCTCTCCTTAAGTACAGAACAAGTACAAAGCAAACAACAGCCAGCAAATGGTAGATGAAGGATGAACAAATGGCAGAGTATTAGCATACACTCAAAAACTCTTCCTGAGCTAAGAAAGGAAATGCAAATGTATGTGGCATCAGATGTCTCTTGATTGGTCTATGTTAAAACTCTAACCTACATGCCAGCAGATGTTTATTGTAAATCAGACAACCTTTTGCTTAGGAATAAAAACCCTGTGACCAATGCTAATTTCTCACAAGTTAATTACAGTGAAATCCTAAAAATCAGAAACTTATAATGTATTTCTCACAGACGAGAAAGCACAAGACTACCGGAAAGGGGAGAAGTCGAGTTAGTAACATGCAATAATGGGATGAGGTTGCATACAGAGGGAGAGAAAAAAGAGGAGAGAGGAGCTCAGTGCATCATGGGAAATCCCCCGGCAGTCTAGGCCTATAGCAGCATAGCTAAGGGATGGTTCAGGACTCACCCGAGCCAGCCCTAACTATAAGCTTTATCAAAGAGGAAAGTCTTCAGCCTACTCTTAAAGGTGGAGATGGTGTCTGCCTCCTGAACCCAAACTGGAACCTGGTTCCACAGGAGAGGAGCTTGATAGCTGAACGCTCTGGCTCCTAGTCTACTTTTGGAGACTCAAGGAACCACAAGTAACCCTGCATTCTGGGAGTGCAGTGCTCTGGTGGGATAGTAAGGTACTGTGAGCTCTTTAAGATAAGATGGTGCCTGACCATTAAGAGCTTTGTAGGTAAGAAGAATGATTTTAAATTCTATTCTGGATTTTACTGGAAGCCAATACAAGACAGGATAAATGTGATCTCTTTTCCTGGTTCCTGTCAGAACACGTGCTGCAGCATTCTGGATTAGCTGAAGATTCTTAATGGACTTTCTCGAGCAGCCTGATAATAAGGAATTGCAGTAATCCAGCCTAGAAGTAGAGCTTAACCACAGGGGTGTAAGATCACAAAACACTTTTATTTGTGAAACAGTTGAATTTTAACTTATAAGCTGTTTAAATGTTACAAATACTGTATAAACTAAGACGAGGCAGACAGTTCAAATAAAATGTAACCTGTAAATTTAATCAAATAGCCAGAAATAACAGGAAAATGCATAGATTTTCAGCATAAGGTAATTCATTGCATTTAATGTATCTGTACCGATCATGCTTACACTCGTGCGTGGTCACCCCCAAAGACCCATTCTGAGCCAGGAAAAACCCTGCATTGTATGATTTTCTTTTCTGTTTTAACCTCTATTAATGTTTCATCTGTTGTTCTTCTGGCTGCAGAGAGGATGATGCTGGTCAACAGTGAACACCTGATTGACAACTTGTGAGTCGTCAAGCAGAAATGATGACAACACCTGCTCAAAGTTCCAGTTTCCTAAACTTTGTGCCATGTCTGTATGAGACTCCCACCTGTCTTCAGTCATGTCTGGACCCAGTGGACTGTCTGGACAACAGTCTTGTGAGGCTCATTAGAGGTAAGCTGTTATAATTAAGGTGCACCGTACAAGCCAACAGCTTCATACATAGAAGAAACCAGCACTCCAGAATATTGTTTTGCAGATCACCTTTATTATTAATAGAGTATCGGGGCAACAAGTAGAAAATAATAATAATAATATTTCAGCTAAGCCATCATCAGCATTTATTTAAAGAGGTCATATTATGCATGTTTACATGGTTTAAAAAAACACCATATTTTTTTGTCATACTGCATCATTGTTGCAGCTCCTCTTTTCGTTTTAGCTACGGAGTGATACATCTTGTCTCTAAATGATCTCTGTTGGGAGTTGTACATGCGCAGTTCCTAGGACTACTAGCCAAGCAGAAGCAGAGAAGGGAAGGTCATGAGATGCCGGTAAACACGGCTTTGGTTCAACTGTATATCCCCTTATCAGCTTAGAAACATGGACCGGAGCAACAGTTTAGATTTCACTCAGTAAAAAACTTGGTAGCCTATTACGTTGCAAGTCGCAGACATGGTGGATATTTTACGAGCACGGACAAAGTAAAGCAGTATGAACACAAAGTGCAAATGTTGGTTTTGGTTGTTCGATAGGTTACGTCATTAATAAGCCGGCATACAGCGCACCTGCTGCCGTGATAACGGATCACAGGTGGAAGAATACCTAAAAAAGAGGAGTTCTGTGTCTTTTGGGCAAGTTTTAAAACATACTGCTGATGGAGAAAGTGATATTTCATTGAATTTTTTTCAATTATGAATTTTAATATTCAGAAAACATCAATCCATAGAAAGCTCTCGTTTAAAAAAAGGGCACCACCGGAGTTGTTATTATCCTAGAGTCTCCGGACCTCTAGGTAGCTTTTAATAATTATACAATTATTCACTAGTGATCAGTTAGTTAATAATCGCTCAATTATCTTAAATCAATTAGTCAGTCTCATATCTAAAGCGTCAATTCTGTTGGCAGGGACGTAGAAATAGTCAACACACAATTCCTTGGTTACAGTGAATTTATTAACTAACTAAGGTGAAATAAAAAGGGTGGTTAAATACAGGGAAAATAAGCAATGGCTAAACAATGAGAATGGAGGTTCGATTGTGGGAAGCATTTGACTCATACGGCAGAGGAGAACTAATGAAAGTAAGCTATGAGTTTAGGAGTTAAAAAGATAATATTAACATTATGGGACATCCCTGACTACAGAATGTTTGTTGGGTCTTACTGCTCGTCGACGGCCTGCTTTGTCCTGTTGCACGGGTCCCATGCTAGCTGCCCGATCCTGGCTTTTTGCTAGGGATTCTCCGGGGAGAGGCACGCCGGACACGTGCCGAAGCATCCAGGGAGCAGAGCGGAAGAGAGGCGAAGAGAAGAAGAAAGCGGGCAACGTCGTGTGTCGCTCTTTTGTGTTCTGGGAAACCGGAAACACCCCCAGGGGGCGTTTCCGGTTTCCCCGAGGGACTGCCTTTCTAAATTTTTAATGTCTATAAAAGAAAAGAAAATCTATTTGCGCGTATTATAATCAAATATTTTCCACAATCAAACCTCACTGGTCAAAGTTCTAAGTTGAGCATTTGGTAACAGGAAAACAAATTGTCAAATTATTGGTCATGATAAATGAGTGACATTTATATATTAATGGCTTTTCCGACGATGGTATGTAATACTTATTTCGTCCACTTGGGGGAGCTCAGGTTACATGAGGAAAGCTTAGATTAATCCAAACAATCTTTCCTTAGGAACTGGGGAATTTAGTTATTTAGCCTTAAATTCAAGCCGGCAATTAATAGAGTATAGTATGGCATTTCTTTATCATCATTTCTAAAGGAATTGTGTGAAAAAAGTATTGTGAACAAGCATTGGTTACACATAAGATGAAGGCGTGTCCTTAATCTTGCTGAAAATTAAAACACTGCAAAAGTAACTTATTTAGATTCTTTTCAGCAATAATATCAACAACAGATAGCAACAACATGGTAACTACTCGAATAGAGGCAAACGTAATCCTGTAACCAACTCCAGGTAAGGACTCATTCCCTACCTGGAGTTGGCACTCCATTGGTTTCCTGCTGAGAACCATGGCCACAGATTTAGAGGTGCTAATCCTCATCCCAACCGCTCCGCATTCGGCTGCGAACCGATCCAGTGAGAGCTGAAGGTCACGGACCGATGATGCCATCAGGACCGCATCATCCGCAAAAAGCAGTGACGAGATCCCAAGCCCCCCCGAACCGCAGCCCCTCCTCGCCACGACTACGCCTCGATATCCTGTCCATGAATATCACAAACAGGATAGGTGACAAAGCGCAGCCCTGGTGAAGGCCAACCCTCACCTGGAAAGAGTCCGACTTACTGCCGAGTACTCGGACACAGCTCTCGCTTTGGATGTACAGCGATTGGATAGCCCTGAGAAGGGCCCCCCTCACCCCATACTCCCGCAGCACCTCCCACAGTATCTCCCGGGGGACCCGGTCATACGCCTTCTCCAGATCTACAGAGCACATGTAGACTGGATAGGCATACTCCCAAGCCCACTCCAGGATCCTTGTGAGAGTAAAGAGCTGGTCAGTTGTTCCACGACCGGGACGAAAACCGCATTGTTCCTCTTCAATCTGAGGTTCGACAATCGGCCAAACCCTCCGTTCCAGCACCCTGGAATAGACTTTACCGGGGAGGCTGAGAAGTGTGATACCCCTGTAATTGGCAAACACTCTCTGGTCCCCCTTTTTGAACAGGGGAACCACCACCCCAGTCTGCCAGTCCTTGGGCACTGTACCCGACTTCCACGCAATGTTAAAGAGACGTGTCATCCAAGACAGCCCCTCCACACCCAAAGCTTTTAGCATTTCTGGGCGGATCTCATCAATCCCTGGGGCTTTGCCACTGTGGAGTTGTTTGACTACCTCAGTGACTTCCACCAGGGAAATTGACGAGAATCCCCCATCAGCCTCGAGCTCTGCCTCTAGTAAAAGAGGGCGTGTCAATCGGATTTAGGAGTTCCTCAAAGTGTTCCTTCCACCGCCCAATTACCTCCCCAGTTGAGGTCAGCAGGGTCCCATCCTTACTGTACACAGCTTGGACGGTTCCCCGCTTCCCCCTCCTGAGATGGCGGACAGTTCTCCAGAAACACTTTGGTGCCGACCGAAAGTCCTTCTCCATGTCTTCTCCGAACTTCTCCCACACCCGCTGCTTTCCATCTGCCACAGCAGAGGCTGCAGTCCTTCGGGCCCGTCGGTACCTTGCAACCGCCTCCGGAGTCCTCCGAGACAACAAATCTCGGAAGGCCTCCTTCTTCAGTCGGACGGCTTCCCTGACCACCGGTGTCCAGCACGGTGTTCGAGGGTTACCGCCCCTTGAGGCACCTAAGACCTTGAGACCACAGCTTTCCGCTGCAGCTTCAGCAATAGAGGTTTTGAACATTGCCCACTCCTGTTCAATGTCCCCAACCTCCACAGGGATGCCAGAAAAGCTCTGCCGGAGGTTTGAGTTGAAGATCTCACGGACAGGGGCCTCCTCCAGACGTTCGCAGTTCACCCGCACTACCCGTTTGGGCTTACCAGGTCTGTCCAGAGTCTTCCCCCACCCCCTGACCCAACTCACCACCAGATGGTGATCAGTTGACAGCTCTGCCCCTCTCTTCACCCGAGTGTCTGAAACATGCGGCCTCAAATCAGATGAAACGATTACAAAATCAATCATTGATCTTGAGCATCCTTATGCTCGAACATGGTGTTCGTTATAGACAATCCATGACTAGCACAGAAGTCTAACAACAAACACCCACTCGGGTTCAGATCAGGGGGGCCGTTCCTCCCAATCACGCCTTTCCAGGTATCTCCATCATTGCCCACATGCATGTAAAAGTCTCCCAGCAGAACTATGGAGTCCCCTACTGGAGCCCCATACAGAACTCCATTCAGGGTCTCCAAGAAGGCCGAATACTCTAAACTGCTATTTGGTGCATATGCACAAACAACAGTCAGAGTTTTCCCCCCCAGTACCCGAAGGCATAGGGAGGCGACCCTCTCGTTCACCGGAGTAAACTCCAACGTAGCGGTGCTCAGCCGGGGACTTGTGAGTATCCCCACACCCGCCTTGCGTCTTACACCTTGAGCAACTCCAGAGAAGAATAGTGTCCATCCATCCATCGGTAGCGCTCCATCTCCCGCACAAGTTCCGGCTCCTTCCCCCACAGAGAGGTGACGTTCCACGTCCCCAGAGCCAGCCTCTGCCGCCCGGGTCTGGTCCGTCGAGGTCCCTGACCTTCACTGCCACCCGTGTGGCAGCGCACCAGACCCCTGCAGATCTTCCGATGGATGGTTCGCCGACGAGCCCTCCCTCTGGGCCTGGCTCCAGACGGGGACCCCGGGCCCGACAACACAGCCTCCAGGTTCACCGGGGCGCACAAACCTCTCCACCACGATAAGGTGATGGTTCCCAGAGAGGTTATTATGAGATGTGTGAAAATATTTTCGGTTCATTTTGAAACTCCGGCAGAACAAATTAGACTGTGGTCTCGTTAATTAATGGGAAACAGGTGTATTACGTTGCAAGTCGACATAGGTGAAACAAATGCTGCTGATGGCTTAGTGCAGAAATGTTTCTGTTTCGCCATGAGACTAATTTCTTATACAAGTCACCTAGTGATCTGGCAAAACTATATTCCAGAGGGTTGGTTTCTTCCGTTTAGAATTCATTGGGGCTCTGTTTAACAAGAGATGGCTTTGAGTTTCTTTATAGGCAATGCATAATGCTCAAGTACTGCATCAATCTAACTTTATTTGTATCTGCTTTTTTGCTGCAGAGAGGATCATGCAAGTTAACAGATAACACCTGATGGACAACATGTGATTCCAACTTGTGACAATAATTTTGAAGTTCCAGTTTCCTGAACATCATGTCCGTGTGAAACCCAATCCCATGTTGACGCCCTCGTTGGTGAAGTCTGGACTCAATGACTCATTTGATCAACTGGGGTCAAGTGGCACATTTTTATCCTTCATATACTATACGGACACATGCTGTTTTCCCACTAAATACCGTAAACAGGTTTACGATATGTTTTTTTTTTTCATAGTAATTTACCGTAAACAAAGTTACAGTTATTTACTGTAAAATTAACGTTTTTCAAAAAAGCATACTGTAATGTGTTATACATTGTCACTGTATTTTTTCACGGTGAAGTTCTGGCAACCACAGCTGCCAGTAATTTACCGTAAAGATGAACTTATTACAATAAATACCGTAAACAAGTTTACATTTTCAGGTTTTTTTCTCATAGTAATTTACCGTAAACAAACAACGGTTATGAACTGTAATATTTACAGTTGCCAAAAAAGCATACTGTAATGTATTATACATTGTCACAAATTTTTTTTAAAGTGATATCTTTTGTGCATCTCAAACTGTAATGTTTGAAACTTATGCTAAGTTGTGGTATTACAGTGACTTCCGTTTTACATTATTGACAGTTTACACAAGTCTTTATTTGCTCAAACATTCTTACGTTAAACTAGCTAGTAGTCACAAAAAACTTAGTAACATATAAACTTTTTAATGCCTTTGAATAGCTGGTGTAACCCAAACATCAAGTCCATCACAGCTGAGGTAGACAATGCTGTCAGTGCCATATATGACACTAATCCTGACATCTGACCATTCCATAGCTGCTGAGGCCTTTGTCACTCTGGCCACCACAGACCCATACTGCATGGGAGCTATAGTAGTGGCTAGAAGTTTACGGCGTCACGGGACAACACGCAGCATTGTTGTCATGGTCACACCAAACGTCTCAGAACAGTCAAGGTGAGTGATACATCCCTTTAACATGTTTCAGGAGTGCTGTCTATGTAGGCTGCCTCTCCGTTCTATGCATGTGTTGAAATGGAAGTGGTTGAAAGTGCTGGTATTAGCCCCTAACCATTTTAATCTTTATAACTCATCAGGCTTTCTCTTAAGAATGTGTTTGATGAGGTCATCATGGTGGATGTGATGGACAGTGAGGACCCTCTACATCTGGCCTTGCTCAGACGTCCTGAGCTCGGCATCACCTTCACCAAGATCCACTGCTGGACTCTGACCCAGTACAGCAAATGTGTCTTCCTGGATGCTGACACACTTGTAAGTCTACTGAACATACATATTGACTGTTTTTTGTGTTAGCCAATGTTGAAAATTTCTTGCTTGCAGCGCTTAATTTTTTGAGTCCCTGAGTGTTGATACTACTGCTGGCCAGTTTATTTATTAATTTATTATTATTATGTATGTTACATTTAATAATAATAATAATAATAATCATCATCTTTATTTGTAGAGCACTTTTCAAAAACAAGTTACAAAGTGCTTTAACAAGTGTAAAGAAAATTAAACCTGCAAGCAGCGTTGGGCGGGCCCTCGCACTTGTAAGCGCGTCCGCGTGTGAGCTGGCCGAGTTGCATATTCTGGAGCTCTGCCGGTGCGGCTGTGAATTTAAATAATAAATCGGTATTGGCGTGTAGATGTCTGCGGGGTGGGAGAGTTATCAAGCACGTAAAGTTTGTTTCAGATGTGAGCATGTACACTGAACAATAATGTACCCAAACAATAAAATAAATTCCTTTTATATTTCCCTGCCTTGTTGTTTATGTGTACATACAGAGGAAGAATGTGAGAACAGCACACATTTCGTCGTTACTGTGTGTTAGAGCATGGGAGAACAGTGGATACTTTTAATACAGCCCACACCCCTAATACTGTGTAACTATAACAAGTAGAGAACAGAAGAAAAAGATGTTCTTTCTTTACAACTGTCTGCATAGCTCATTCATATTGTGTAATGAATGAAAATAAATAGGCCTACTAGGCTCCTCTCTACTTTGACATTTAAGATTAGCTTGTTTGATCCACCTTCATACACATGTGACATTACTGTACAACTTGAGAAAGGTGAGTTGTTTTCTGCTCCAGCCTGCCTAAAAGAAACGCGTTTTTGGGATTAAATGGACTTTATTAGCTGCTGCAGTGCAGGATGAACTCATAATAGACCCATTTCTCACCTTATTATTCTAAATCATGCAACGAAGAAGAAGAAATGCATAATAAATCCTGGGACAAAATCTGTCCACAAATACTGTACAGCATGTAGTCTGATGAACAAGACTTGTGTTATAGCTGACTTGGGCAGTGAAATGTTTTTTTAATTCATGTGGTCATAGTTGTCCACAACTCAAATCAGAATATAAGAAGAAATGTTTTATACCACCTCAAGAAGGCTTCCTATCAGAAAGGTAGGAAGGTATTTCAAATGTACAACTGCAGTACTTAAATCTAAGTAAAGTAATTTCCCTGACATTTTTGTGTTACTTTACTTTTAATAGACGCATGTAACAGGTTTTATACTTCCTGTGAGTATAATCCAATCAATCTTATTTTCATACTGTATATCCGTTGTGTAATTTGATAAATTGTGTTGTATGTCGTGCTCGCATCTCAGAGAAGACTCTGACTGCAACATGCGTCTTTGTAAAGAGAGAAACGGACAGAAAAAGTCTCTAACTCTGCCTGTCAGCTCGCTCTGCTCCGTTAAAACTGAATTTTCCATACAGAATTGAATACGAGTGCACTCCAGATTTAGCTGCAGCCAGCTGACCGTGTGCTTCTCCCTATACCGCAGTTCTGTGTCCATGCATGCAGCAAACTGAAAGCACTGTCTGTCGGAGCGTCTACGTGAAAAGAGAAGGAAGACATTGCTGGTAGTATTGTCTTCAGAGTTGTTAAACACCTCAGCGCACTGAAGGAAGCCATCTGACTGTGTGAGGGGCAAGATCGTTGATGTCTGCAGGCAGAGTAGGAGCTCTCCTGTCTGACTGGTCCACCAATAGCAGAGAAGATGACCCCTTGTCAAGCACGTAAAGTTTGGTTCAGATGTGAGCATGTACACGTAAGTTACAACAACTTCCGTGTCATGGCGAAGACTTGATCTCTGACGCCACGCCACGGACACACCCATTGACGAAAACTCGCAAATAGCACAACTTTTCATCTTCAATGCCTTTAGAAGGCACAGCAGAAATTTGAGGTCAGTCGGAATAAATCCCTAGGAGGAGTTCGTTAAAGTACGAAGTGTGTAAATCATCCAAAATTTGACGTAAAATTCAAAATGGCCGACTTCCTGTTGGTTTTAGGGCATCGCTCCGAGAGGCTTTTTTGTGCGTCTGGACAAGATACACGTACCACAGAAAATTTGTGCACGTAGGTGAAACGTGCGGCGGGGGCTGCTTCGTTAAAAGTTACTTCCTGTTGCCAGCAGGTGGCGCTATGACTGTGCGTGAATGTCGGCATGTACATGTGTTCAGGGTGGGACTCTCATCCTACATGTACAGTTTGGTCCAAATGTGAGCATACACACTGAAGTTACAACAACTTCCTGTGTCATGGCGAAGACTTGATCTTTGACGCCACGCCACGGACACGCCCATTGACGAAAACTCGCAAATAGCACAACTTTTCATCTTCAATGCCTTTAGAAGGCACAGCAGAAATTTGAGGTCGGTCGGACTAAATCCCTAGGAGGAGTTCGTTAAAGTACGAAGTGTGTAAATCATCCAAAATTTGACGTAAAATTCAAAATGGCCGACTTCCTGTTGGTTTAGGGCATCGCTCCAAGAGGCTTTTTTGTGCGTCTGGACAAGATACACGTACCACAGAAAATGTGTGCACGTAGGTGAAACGTGCGGCGGGGGCTGCTTCGTTAAAGTCACTTCCTGTTGCCAGCAGGTGGCGCTATGACTGTGGGTGAATGTCAGCATGTACATGTGTTCAGGGCGGGACTCTCATCCTACATGTACAGTTTGGTGCAGATGTGAGCATGTACACTGAATTACGACAACTTCCGTGTCATGGCGAAGAGCTGATCTTTGACACCACGCCACGGACACGCCCATTGACGAAAACTCGCAAATAGCACAACTTTTCATCTTCAATGCCTTTAGAAGGCACAGCAGAAATTTGAGGTCGGTCGGACTAAATCCCTAGGAGGAGTTCGTTAAAGTACGAAGTGTGTAAATCATCCAAAATTTGACGTAAAATTCAAAATGGCCGACTTCCTGTTGGTTTTAGGGCATCGCTCCAAGAGGCTTTTTTGTGCGTCTGGACAAGATACACGTACCACAGAAAATTCGTGCACGTAGGTGAAACGTGCGGCGGGGGCTGCTTCGTTAAATGTCACTTCCTGTTGCCAGCAGGTGGCGCTATGACTGTGGGTGAATGTCAGCATGTACATGTGTTCAGGGCGGGACTCTCATCCTACATGTACAGTTTGGTGCAGATGTGAGCATGTACACTGAAGTTACGACAACTTCCGTGTCATGGCGAAGAGTTGATCTTTGACGCCACGCCACGGACACGCCCATTGACGAAAACTCGCAAATAGCACAACTTTTCATCTTCAATGCCTTTAGAAGGCACAGCAGAAATTTGAGGTCGGTCGGACTAAATCCCTAGGAGGAGTTCGTTAAAGTACGAAGTGTGTAAATCATCCAAAATTTGACGTAAAATTCAAAATGGCCGACTTCCTGTTGGGTTTAGGCTATGGCTCCAAGAGACTTTTTTGTGCGTCTGGACAAGATACACGTACCACAGAAAATTCGTGCACGTAGGTAAACGTGCGGCGGGGGCTGCTTCGTTAAAAGTCACTTCCTGTTGCCAGCAGGTGGCGCTATGACTGTGGGTGAATGTCAGCATGTACATGTGTTCAGGGCGGGACTCTCATCCTACATGTACAGTTTGGTCCAGATGTGAGCATGTACACTGAAGCTACGACAACTTCCGTGTCATGGCGAAGAGTTGATCTTTGACGCCACGCCACGGACACGCCCATTGACGAAAACTTGCAAATAGCACAACTTTTCATCGTCAATGCCTTTAGAAGGCACAGCAGAAATTTGACGTCGATCCGACTAAATCCCTAGGAGGAGTTCGTTAAAGTACGAAGTGTGTAAATCATCCAAAAATGGCCGTAAAATTCAAAATGGCCGACTTCCTGTTGACTTTAGGCTATGGGTTCTTGAGGCTTTTTTGTGCGTCTTGATATGATACATGTCCCCAGAAAATTTCGTACATGTAGGTTGAACGTGAACGAGGGGCTAATCTTTTCCAATTTTCTAGGTGGCGCTAGCGAGTCATTTTGCCACGCCCATGTGCGAAACTTGTAGAATACGAAATTTTTCACCGGTTCTGACATGTTTGCAAATTTTGGTGAGTTTTCGAGAATGTTTAGGCCATGTCAGTTGAGCCTACTTTGCAGAAAAAAGAAAAAAAAAAAAAAAATATATATATATATATATATATATATATATCCGAGCAAATTCAATAGGGACCTCACACGGTCGTGCTCGGGCCCTAATATAATCCGAGCAAATTCAATAGGGACCTCACACGGTCGTGCTCGGGCCCTAATAATCCGAGCAAATTCAATAGGGACCTCGCACGGTCGTGCTCGGGCCCTAATTAAAGCTGCAAGCAGCGTTGGGCGGGCCCTCGCACTTGTAAGCGCGTCCGCGTGTGAGCCGGCCGAGTTGCATATTCTGGAGCTCTGCCGGTGCGGCTGTGAATTTCCTACGCGGTTATGTCGCCGCATGAAGGTGCTATTGTCACTTCCTGTGTCCCCTATGTGGAGCTACATAGCACTTGCCGCTATGAATATAAATCGGTATTGACGTGTAGATGTCTGGGGGTCAGAGAGTTATCAAGCACGTAAAGTTTGGTTCAGATGTGAGCATGTACACTGAACAATAATGTACCCAAACAATAAAATAAATTCCTTTTATATTTCCCTGCCTTGTTGTTTATGTGTACATACAGAGGAAGAATGTGAGAACAGCACACATTTTCGTTACTGTGTGCTGTACCGCAGTTCTGTGTCCATGCATGCAGCAAACTGAAAGCACTGTCTGTCGGAGCGTCTACGTGAAAAGAGAAGGAAGACATGCTGGTAGTGTCTTCAGAGTTGTTAAACACCTCAGCGCACTGAAGGAAGCCATCTGACTGTGTGAGGGGCAAGATCGTTGATGTCTGCAGGCAGAGTAGGAGCTCTCCTGTCTGACTGGTCCACCAATAGCAGAGAAGATGACCCCTTGAGACAC